ACTATTTTTAAATGCCTTTCTGCCCTCTTACTATTGTAATACAGTCCCAGGTTTGCCCCAACTTTCTTGATCCCTACTCTCCTCTCCCTTTCTCTTTTTTCCATGTCCCATGCAGAGGAGCTTTCCCTCTTATAACGATGAAAATAATAACAGCTAACATTGATTGAGGATTTCATATACTTCAGACACTGTGCTATGTGTATTACATATATTACTACATTTATTCCTTATAAAAATCCTAGGAAGTAACTATTAATATCATCATCCTTTTTATAGATGAGGAACCAAAAGGTCTAATAATTTTTCCGAGTTCACAGAGCTAATAAATAGTAGGGCCAGGATATGAACCAATACAGTCTGATTCTAGAACCTCTCCTTGAAACCATATAGCATACTACCTACAACTATAACATGTGACCTTGGCAACTACCATACTCTTGCAACAAAATACAAATTTATTGCATGGGAGCTTTTTACCCAAAAACCCTTCTCATCATGGAAGGAATTCTGAGGCTAATTGCTGAGATGGTAAAATGTTTTCTCATCTCCTTACATTTACACTTTTCAAGCTTGACACAAAAATTTGGCAGAAAGCAAGATAACAAAAAGCATTATTTTTTTTTTTTACATACCAACGATATTTATGTTGCCAAATCAATATGTAGACACAAGGCATGATGATCTGTTTGGAAAATTCAGAAAAGATAAGAATGAAGGGCAGAGGGACAAAAAGGATCTGAAATGATACCTTTACTCTAAAACAAGTTGGGTCCTAGGGAAACTTCTCTGGTTGCAAAGATAGAGCCATGTAAATAATACTGTATCCTACATGTATAGTTTTGGTATTTGTAGTCCATTAAATGGAGTTCAGAATCAGAACATACAGGAAGCAAGCCATAATTAGGAATTCGATGAGCTGAATGGTAGAAAAGTAGGAATTAGTTGTTCAGTATAAGGCCTTATCTAGGGGGCAGGTATGGGGAGGCAACCAGTAATCTAAGATCAAAGAGAGTCATTAGTACTATTGACTACACAAACATGCAGCTGGGGAGCTACTAAGGAGGTCCTGAGACTGTTAGTCCGTGAGAGTTTCTGAGAGTCACATGGTATCTGGAGCTACTTGTGCCTGTCTGGGTTCTTTAAAGAAACAGAACAGGAGATGATAGAAAGATGGATAGATAGATAGAGATTGATAGAGATTATTTATAGACTATATAGAAAGAGATTTTAAGAGATTACCTTACAAGTTTGTGAGAGTTGGCTACTCTGAAATTTGAAATCTGAAGGGCAGAGCAGCAGGCTGGAAACTCAGGCAGGATCTCTATATCATAGTCTTAAAACAGAATTCCTTCTTCCCCGGGAAATGCCAGTTTGGGGTCTTAAGGTAGCTGACTGGAAAAAGCCCACTCACATTATCAAGAGCAAGCTACTGGGGTGCCTGGGTGGCTCAGAGGGTTAAAGCCTCTGCCTTCGGCTCGGGTCATGATCCCAGGGTTCTGGGATCGAGCCCTACGTCAGGCTCTCTGCTCAGCAGGGAGCCTGCTTCCCTCTCTCTCTGCCTGCTTGTGATCTCTGCCTGTCAAACAAACAAACAAAAAAAAGAGCAAGCTACTTAAAGTCAATGATTAAAGATGTTAATTACATCTACAAAATACCTTCAGAGCAACATCTAGACAAACATTTAACCAAACAATTGGGCACCATAACCTAGCCAAATCAACATATAAAATTTAACCACCACAGTATTCTTTTGAGATGTTTGGTTTCTACATCTAGTTACGAGGGGAAAAATTCATGGATCAACAAGGGGATTTGCCTCAGTTTGAGAAAGACTCAGGACTCAGAGAGGGGGCCAAAACTGGTATTAAGAATGGTACACTTCTTGGGGCGCCTGGGTGGCTCAGTGGGTTAAAGCCTCTGCCTTCGGCTCGGGTCATGATCCCGGAGTCCTGGGATCGAGCCCCGTATCGGGCTCTCTGCTCAGCAGGGAGCCTGCTTCCTCCTTCTCTCTCTCTGCCTGCCTCTCTGCCTAATTGTGATCTCTGTCTGTCAAATAAATAAAATCTTTAAAAAAAAAAAAAAAAAGAATGGTACACTTCTCTTTGAGAAGCTACTGAAAGGGGAGGGACAATACAGAATAACTCAGATGATCATGATTTTTGAATGTTCAGTTAAATAGGAATAAACTGTTTGTGTAGAAATGTATTCAAAATTCAGATTCCTATGTTTTTGATTCTGTAAATTTGTGCGAGAATCTAATAATCATCCCAAGTGATGCTGATGCAAGTCACACACAGATAACACTTGAGGAAGAATCGAAGTGAATAACAATATTCATCCCAGGGCTAAAGAGAAAGTGAATTCCGAAACATAATACAATCTCAGTGAGGACAAGCTTCACCCACTGAAATGATAGAGTGACCAACTAGACCTGAATCCTATCATCCCACAGAATGAAGATAGCTCCCCGAAACAAAAGCAAATGATAGCTTAGATATGCCAAGCAAATTTAATTTCAAAATAGCCATTTTTGAATGTACAAATGGAATCAGAACAAGTCACAATTGAAAGCCAGTTCAGAATATGGCCTGTACCCTACTTCCCATCCCTACGCCTTTCATTTGTTTGTGGTAATAAAATTAGAGCATATCACAGAGAAAAAGAACAAAGTAACTGCAATGCTAAGTGAACAGTTTGTTCTCTACCCAGTTTTCCAAACTGCTGTTTATGAAAAAAACAACTGCATTCTTTTTGCCAAATGAGATGCTCACCAGTTTGAATGACTTACATAGGGTATATCAGAATGCAAGCATACCAAAGACAAAGCTTCTGACAGAAGATGAGCTTGAAATAAAATTTTAATTGAATTACTGTTGGTAATAGAGAGCGAAAAGTGGAGTCAAACTTTCATCTTGTAAGACAAAGCACTCTTGTTATCATGTGTTTGAAATTGTTCTTGTAGCCATGCAAATAGAAAAACAAAAACCTCTCCCCCTTTGAACTTGATCTGATTCATAATTGCCATCCAAGGAGCTCTAACCAGTTTCCTATCATTTAGAATTATGGATTTCTAGAATCTTTGATGTACAAGTGGACCTGATATTAGATCCAAATATCCAAACCCCCTATATTACATACTAGCCAGACAGCTTCCAGCATCTCTTCAAAAACTTCTAACAATGGGAAACTGTTATCTCTGAAGTAATACCCCTCTATACTCAGCAACCTTAATCTTAAAGTTTCTCTTTGATGTGTTCTCTTTTCTTCTTCCTATTTCCCTCAGCACCTCTTACCCCTCCGCTTTACTCCTTACAACCCAACGAACTGAAATAGTCACACACACACACACACACACGCCACAGGTCACACACACTCTAACCTCCTGGGACCTTTAAAAACATTAACCCTTGGGCACCTGGGTGACTCAGTTGGTTGAGTGTTTGCCTTCAGCTCCAGTCCTGATCCCAGGTTCCTGGGATTGAGCTCCACATGGGGCTCTCTCATTCCCTCTCCCTCTGTGTGTGTGCTCTCTTTCTCTAGCTCTCACTCTCTCTCAAATAAATAAATAAAATCTAAAAAAACAAAAAACAAAACCTTAACCATGACAAGAAAGAACATAAGCAGGATTAGAAAATATACCTGATTCCCCCAAGGTAATCACTTATTAAGTTTAGGGTGCTAATATTTTACTTAACACGTGGAAAAAAACTGACCTTCAGTTTACTAATCACCTCCGTCTTTAATCAGAAAAGAGACCAGGGCTGTAACTATACAAGGCAAATGTTTTCAGGCATTATGAATTGTTCCATCAAAAATTCCTTTTATAGGGGAGCTGAGTGGCCCAGTCGTTGGGCCTCTGCCTTCGGCTCAGATCATGATCCCAGGGCCCTGGGATAGAGCCCCGTGTTGGGCTCCCTGCTTGACAGGAGGCCTGCTTCTCCCTCTCCCACTCCCCCTGCTTGTATCAACTCTCTCGCTATGTCTCTCTCTGTCAAATAAATAAAATCATTTTAAAAAAATTCTTTTTTAAAAAAGATTTATTCATTTTTAGAGAGAGAGTATGTGCAAGCACATGAGCACGAGTAGAGAGAGGGACAGAGGGAAAGAGAGACAAGCAGACTCTCCACTCAGTGTGGGACACCCCCCCACCACCACCAACACACACACTCAAGGCTCCATCCCACGATCCTGAGATCATGACCTAAGCCAAAATCAAGAGCCGGTCGTTTAACCGAGGGAGCCACCCAGACACCCCCCAAAATTCTTTATACTGAAGACTTCTAAGACAGTGGGAAGGATGAAATATAATTTGACATTAGACTGACGAGGAGGTAGATAAATAACTAGGAATGTGACTTCTCAATAGCCACATTACATGGCTCATTATTACAGAAGAAAATATTTTGCAACAGAACTTTCAATGACACTTTCTAAGAAGGACACTTGATGTGATGAGCACTGGGTGTTATATGCAACTGATAAATCACTCCATTCTACCCCTGAAACTAATAATATACCGTATTTTAACTAAATTGAATTTAAATAAAAAATAATAAATAAGTAAATAAGTAAATAAATAAATAAATAAAATGAATGCTCAGATCCTGTGCATTGTTAGTCCCACAAAAAAACGTGGCCTGCCAGTTAGTCAAGGTGCTAAGTGCCTTCTGCGCATCCAGGTAATGTCTTAACACATCACAGTAGATGAGTAAATGCTAGGTAAGATTTAATTAATTATTTTAAAAGTTTTGTACTTAAAAAAAAAGTTATCAACTTGTAAAAATGAATTCCTAAAATACGCTAATTTTATATATAATATGAAAATTCACCAAATTGTTTAAGGCTCTATTTACAAATATTAAAGGAAAGGATATTAATATTTTATTTTTTCCAACCTGACACCCCATGAGATTGGTAAAAGAGCATTATTTACTGACATTTCTTTAAAAATTTACTGAAAGTTAACATAACTACATCATAGTGCTTACAATTCTATTTGTACAGATGCCATTGCAGAATAAAGTGAGTTTCCGTTGTATAAAGGAAATCTTGACCCAGCCGAAGAAAAGAAAAATGAATTAGAATTCTGTCTCTACTACTTACCAGCTCTGTGGCAATGAAAACCTTATTTAACTTCTCTGAATTTCAATCTCTTCATTTGCAAAACAGGTATAAATTATTGTTACTGGTATTAAACTATCTTACAGCATTGTTGTGAAGATTACATACATTTTATGTGAAATAATAAACACAATACTTGGTAGATGGTAAGGCTCAGTAAATCATAGCTGTTGTCTGTAACAGCTAATTGTTGCTTTTACTGTTTTAGGTGACCAAAAGTCAAAGAACAACAAAATTCAAAACAAAAGCAGAAAGCCTAAATAGTTTCTATTGCGTTTATGCCAGTCTTTTGATTTTAGAACTTTTAACTATTGAAATAGCATACTAATATAAGAATATTTATATATGGTGTGAGTTTCTAGAAAAATATTCATGATAAATATTACAATTATTATTAGATAAATGTGAAACACAAAGAGGTAGGAATTATCACCATATGATTTAGACAAGAAAATTGGGCCTCAGAGGTCATTGCTTGATGAGGATCACACAGCTAATGCATTGGAAAATCAGAATTTGAGGCAAGTTTTGAAACAAGTTTTAATGTTTGGAGTGATAAAATAATAAGGAAAATCAGAGCAAAAAAATTAATCTATAAAATAGGAGTGGTCCAACGTGAAAACATGAACCAAGATTATACAAATAAAGGTATTCTAAATTATTTAATCATTATCATGTATCACAAGTGAAAAAGATCACCTCTTTCCATGACATTATGTTCATAAAATAATGAAATCAGCTGTAGTAAATGTCTATTAAGATACCTCTTTGATGGGTGCCTGGGTGGCTCAGTCAGTTAAACATCTGCCTTGGTCTCAGGTCATGATCTTGGTCCTGGGATCAAACCCTATGTCAGAGTTCATGCTCAACTAGGGGTCTGCTTGTCCCTCTCCCTCTGCTCCTCCACCCCACTCATGACCTCTCTCTGTTTCTTTCAAAAAAAAGAAAAGAAAGAAAAAGAAAGGAAGTAAGAAAGAAAGAATGTCTTCATTAAGTACTGATTATTTTAACTATAATAATTATATATTAATATAATAAATTTTAATTAATATATATTAGTGTCCTTTCTTAAATATGTTTATATAATGTATTTTCTATAATATAATATATATTAGTATATATATATATATAATTTATTGATAACTATTCTAATTATTCTAAACATCTCTTAGAAATCCTGTGGAAGTAACATTTACTATGCTTAGAAAAAGTCATTTTTTTTTTAAGATTTTATTTATTTATTTGACAGACAGAGATCACAAGTAGGCAAGGGAGGCAGGCAGCAGAGAGAGGAGGAAGCAGGCTCCCCGCTGAGCAGGGAGCCTGATGTGGGGCTCCATCCCAGGACCCTGGGATCATGACCTGAGCCGAAGGCAGAGGCTTTAACCCACTAAGCCACTCAGGCACCCCTAGAAGAAGTCATTTAAGTAAGTATTCTTTAAAGTATGCTCCACAGTCCATTTTGTTTGTGAGTTGAATTATTACTTTATGATACTTACGTAAACAATTCCATTGTTAACAATTTATCAAAAGGAATTATTTTCTCCCTTTAAATTCTAGTCAGTAAGTTAGTGTATGGGTGAGAATACTGCCAAACAGGAGTTAGATGATCCAGCAAAAAGGAGTTTAGTAAATGCTTGTTGGTTATTTGATCTGTCCATCAAAACTAAAGAAAACTACCATCAACTTTGGTATATTTCAACTTCAATATTTTCAGCTCATAATCTTCCAAAACTATCCTGAAAAAAGGGCTTTCTCATTTTAAAATGTACTGGAAATGCATTTTAATTAGTAAAAGATAAGGCATCAGATGATAGCAAGCAATCATGATTATGTGAGGAAATGTCCATACTTTTCAGAGATGCATAACAAAGTATGCTAAAATATGTAAAGGTAAAATGACAATTTCTGAAATTTGCTTATAATACTTCAGCACATGTACACATAAAAGAAATGTATGCATATCTTCAACAAAAGGCACATTAAAAAATGTTAATGGTAACACTATTTTTAATGCCAAAGACTGGAAACAATCCAAATGTTCAACAGTAAAAGGGGTAAATAATGGCCTATCCATACAACTCAATACCACACGATGACAAGAATAGACAAACTCCAACAAGCTGCTACACCGTGGGTGAATGTCATAAACAATATTGAGCACATAAAGACAGACAAAAAAGAGTCTATACTATCTGATTTCATTTACATAAAATTCCAAAAATAGGCAAAACTAATCTATGATGATAGAAGTCTTATACTGGTTTCCCTTGAAGTTGGGAGTAGTGACTAGACAGGGACATAAGAACACTGTCAGAGTTCTGTTTTCTGCTTCATAAAACAGATGCTCATAGGGTTATGTTTGTATGGTTTGTGTACTTTTCTGTAGTTTGCTATTCTTCAGAAAATATTTATATAAAATACTCCTGCAAAGTAAAAATTATGAAGCCATCCATCATGGTAGTCTTGGTAACTGTTGAATTTGGATGATTCTTACACAGAGATTCACTTTACTTTTCTTTCTACTTTTGTGTCTGTTTGAAAATTTTCATATTAAAAATTAAATGTAATCTACAGAACACTATATCATTGGCGGGGACCTGAGAATTAAAAATTCATGAACCCTTCCACAATACAGATTCAAGAAGAATTTGGTTTATCCATTTATAGTACATTGACTCTTGTGTGAAAACTAATCCAGATTCTGCCCAAAATGCCCTTCCCTATACACATAACAGCTTATTGTTGAATTAAATTGTCACCCACCCCAGAGAAATTACCTAGCTAATGCAAGAATAATCACATTGGACATCAACGTTTATTTTATTAAAGAGCCTGAAGAAATTAAACCAATTGGGAACACTAAGAAAGATGGACATCTTCCCTAATATACAAAGAAAATAGCTATGTTTAAGTGATTCTTATTAATGTATATTTGAAAGGGAAGTAAAAGAAAGGGTGAGCACCTTGAGAGCAGTATGAGTACAATTTTCAGCAAAGCAACTTCAAATTTAGATGCAGTCAGAGTTGGACAAAATATTACTAGGCTATTGATTTAAGGAAGTAAAGAAAAATTTTAGCCTACAAGGAATAGTACAATATTTCATTATGTCAACACGAAACCTCAAGAGTTTGCTGAATAGAACCTACTGGGTATGCATGGCCAACACTTTGTCTTTCAAATTAGGCCATTTTTATACCCACTATGAAGAGTGCTCTCTGAGTGTGTTATTAGTTAAGCTTTGCAAGCCCAAAAAGGTATTCTCATGGTATATGAAAAAATAATTGATTTCCCCCTTTTCTTTGTTTTCCTTCATGAATATGCAGTTTACATTATATATAATCAGAAAACTTGATGTCTGAGGCAAGGCTGGAAATTAACAATTCTAAGTATTGATTGACTTATTTTTCATTTTGTAGCCATTTGCTAGGTTATTCCTAATTTTTTTTTTTTAACCTAACTTGGAAAAATGTTTTTTAGCAGCCAGTTACAACAGAAGTCAGTTTCTTTTTAAGCAAACTAGCACTGCTTGTTGCTTTTTTTAATGTTAAAGCTCAAAAGAATTCACACCCAGTCACAGGGTATATGAATTGTGCTTAATAAACCATTACTCTCTGTGAACATTATGATTCTGGAGTCCTACTATTATATATTCCTTAAATTAAAATTTTAAAAAATCTCTCTCCCTTCAGTACAAGTAAAATAGGCTTAACAGTAAGTAATTGCTGATCATTTTTGCCAGATACTTTTATTAGAATTGCATGGTAACCATTAAAATGGTTTTGCATTTTCTTCAGGAGCATTAATTTTCGGATTAAATAAAATACATGCTCTTATTTTTAAAGCAGGCTCATTTTATACAATAGAACAATTTTTTTAAATGAGCTACCCTACACTTAATGTCATTAGTAAACAATGCATTTCGTCACACAGGAATACCAGGCTCATACATTTAAAATACTTCAGCATCTCGTTATGCCAGCTAAACCCGACACAGTGATGTAACCTAACAATAGCTACTTACATAACCAAATGAATATAGAAGGCCAGATTTTCTAGCACAGATGCTGCCTCTTATCTACCCTCTCTAGGACAATGTCAAAATAGTGATCGTTATCTGTATATGTTGACTCTCTATGTGGTATTTTTCTGAGAGGAATGAGAAGTTGATTGTTATCCATATTCTTTCATAGAAACCCACGGAACATCTACCAGCTGAGATTTTCCAAGACATTGTTCTGAGATCTAGGACTGACTATGGTGTGTTATAGAAGCTATCTTGGGTTATATCCATAATGCTTGGGATTAGCAGTCTATAATGTTAACATCATTCTATCATTAGTAGCTAACAATTATTAAGCATTTGCAAGGCCATGTGCTAAATCCTTAACATGCTTAATCACATTAAATGCTCACAAAAGCCCTATGCTAGTGCTATTTCCCCCCTTATATTTCCCCATTTTATAGGTGGAGAAACTGAGGCTCCAAAGGGATAAACAATGTGTTAACCATTAATACAGCTAGAAAAAGACAAATTCAGGATTCAAATTAAGTCCATGGGACTCTAGACAGAAAATCACTTCAGCCAACTTTATAACTTTTTAAAATAATGACTTCTGTTTTGTTTTGTTTTTTTTTTCTCTTACTTTATGCCTCCTGTTTTTCTCTAAAACTAAAGCCCCAGGATTTGCAGATAAATAATTTTGGCACTGACTAACTCCAACACAATTCAAGTATTTATACAAGTTATTTGCAAATAAATGATTTATTTTCTTTATTTGAGACAATCACCAAATAGTGATGTTTCTCCAAGAGGTAAAGTAAAAAGTAAAAATTTGTAATACTCAAAATTTATTTTGTTAAACTCAAGTTTTTCATTGCTATTAACATAAGTTGACAGTTCAGGGTTTTGTTTTGTTTTGTTTTTTGTTTTTTTAAGATATTATTTATTTATTTGACAGAGACAGCAAGAGAGGGAACACAGGCAGGGGAAGGAGCAGAAGGAGAGGGAGAAGCAAGCTATCTGCTGAGCAGGGAGCCCGATGTG